CAATCTAGAATAATCAAGAAAAATATATAATCTAAAATTATAAAGAAAAATATATATTCTAGAATTATCAAGAAAAATATATAATCTAAAATTATAAAGAAAAATATCTAGAATTATCAAGAAAAATATATAATCTAGAATTATAAAGAAAAATATCTAGAATTATCAAGAAAAATATATAATCTAGAATTATCAAGAAAAAAGACTTAATTGACCCTGTTATTTCATAGTCTCTATTAAACTTATCAAATACTGACTTGTGTCCTTACCCCAAAACTATACACATATTAGATAAATTCAACTAATTGTTTTTAAACAACTCCTTGTCAATGTATTGATATTTGTTTCTATGTTCTGAAAGGGCGTGTTGTCGCGAACACAACGCAGAACAACAACGCCATGATGATGGTTCAGATTGATTTCTTACGGTAGCGCGAGGCAGATTAGTGGCTTGGAAAATACAGCCAGCGCAAGGAAGGCAATCGTTGATTATCATAACAGAAACTTTTACATCGAACTCAAGAAAATTGCCATGACGACACTTTCTGATTACCGTACAGTTTGAGTATTGATAAAACTATCGATAATGTAGATGTCTGTGTTTGAAAAAAAATATATCTTCTTTTGTAACGCTCTGAATGCAGAGGGTCATACTTTGTGATGTGGTATTTTTTTGATTAACCTCTATGTCAAGTTAAATTTTATATATATATATAAAACATGTTTTCTTTTGGAAGGGATTTCATGTCTGCTGTGTTAGGGTTGTTTAGTTAGAAGACGTTTTTCAGGACTGAGTTACTTTTTTATCTAGTCAGTTGAGAAGGTTTGGTTTTAATTTCGCGCAAAGCTATCTGCGCAAAGAGAGCTATCTGCATTGTCCGTCCTTAATTTAGCAACGAAAGACTAGAGGGAAGGCAGCTAGTTAACGCCCATTCTTGGTCTTCTCTTTTACCAACGAACAGTGGGATTGACCGTTATATCATAACGACCCCACAGATGAAAGGGCGAGCATGTTTGGTGGGACGGGGATTCGAACCCACGACACGCAGATTGCGAGTCGAGCGCCTAACCACCTGGCCATGCTTGGCCAGTCAGTTGAAAAAGCATTACACTTTGTTTGTTCGTTTGATTTTAGAATTTTCGTGCAAAGATACACAAGGGCTCTCTGCACATAGCCGCTACACAAGAGCTATCTGCACATATCCGCTACAAGAGGGCTATAAGCACACATCCGTCTCTAGTTTAGAACTGATAGACTAGATGGATTTGTTTGTTTTGAGCACAAAATTACACAATAGGCTATCTGCGTTATGTTAACCGCGAGTAATCGAACCTTGGATTTTAGCGTCGAATTGTCTATAAACTTACCGCTGACCCTCGGCGACCTCACTCTTCCGCCAACTAATGGTTATTCTTCTCTAACCTAACAATGGAATTAGACCGTCATTCTTATAGCACACCCACGGCCCCTAAGTTCGGAATGTGTTGTTGTGACAACGTGACGCGAACCATGAATTTCTGACTCGCACGCTACTATATACATATATATATACACTATATGGATAAATATAGAAAAACGGGAATCAGTCACCTGAATTTAGGTGTGAAGTAAAACGTATGCTGCGTTTTTAGATAACGCTTCCATTGCCAGGTTTACTTTTAGATACATAACAGTAAAAACAAACAAAAAACAACATGTTTTAATATTTCATTTCTTATCTGGAACCTGAAACTGATACCTTTTCTTGAAAATTCCAAATTTCAAAAGCAGTGTTATAGATGGCCATTACTGTGCCTATTACGATCACAGAGTTAACATTTACAAAACATCTACTTGGTCAATAAAATATATGACTTGTCTGTGTTTGTCAATAAATTGTACCAACCTACTTATCCAAAATCAACCAGTTAGGTTAGTTATATACAATACTATACATTACAAACTAGCCTGGTTCATGCTCAAGGCAATCAGACATTAAGTACAAAATTCACAGAATTACCAGTAAATGTTTTAAAAATAGAACAAATATGATTTGTTTGAAATTTCCAAAACTATACGTACGTACGCGGTAAGAACGGTAGTCCTTAACTGATGAAACAAAATGGCGGCCAATAAAATCGGTAGTTTAAAACCACCTTTAAAATGTCTGAATATTAATAATGACTATTTCACAGTATTTGCTGAGCAAACCTAAAGCTTACTGTACTTATAATGCCACCTAAATCACTATATACGTGTTTATGAAGTGAATCAAAATTTCACTATTTCAGATTCAGACTAATATAATTACAGTTATTTGCCAAATTAGCGATAATTTTTTATAAATATTAAGTAACTCAGTTTTTGTAGTTTTGACTACTTTGTTTCAATACTTTTTGTAACATTACAACTTTCTATATAACTATAGCTAACTAGATTACGTATATATCGATCCCTACTTGTCTTTATAAAATTTTACTTTTTTTATTATACTTGTATAGAATATATGCATACTAGGTTTTCTAACCCTTTACTTAGTAAAGTAAGCTCTAAGCTTCACATATACTTTTCAAAATTGTCGTGGCGATTAGCATTTTTAGATTTAACTTAGAACCTTTATCAAGCAAGTAGCAAAGTTCTTCTTTCCCTAGTTACCTATTATCCTTTACAATGTAGAGATGAACATGCTATATCGAAGTGGACAGCAATATTTTCCATTGGCAGACACCTGATACCTTGAGGTTACAACCTTGCTTATTTTTCGATGAGAATTATCATCAGTGACGTGTGTAGCGCACGCACGTGGGAAAGAACGGCATTATTGTAGTGTATATAATGCTCTATTTTGTCATTATATAACTGTTTTTCTTCTTGGAGCTATCATAGACCTCTCAGTATCTAGTAAAAACACCGTCCTTCGTTATATTCGCCACCTTTGATTGTTTTATTGAATTAATATTTTTTACATTGCTACACACTGTCTCCAATCTCTTCTATTTTTCACAACTCACTGAAAATCTGAAAATATAGTTTAAATTCGCTTAACATTCTGTGGTCGAACCTCCCGTTATTATGAGGATCCTATCCGATTGGTTTCAGGGAAGTCAGTGCACCTGAGAATACCAGAGAGGCATATCAACGCTGTTCAACTACAGAATCTGTTCTCAGACAGTCTATTTTTACGTACTTCAATTTCCAACACTGTACTTATGATAAGAAGAATAGCAAGTGGAAATAATAATATTATACCATAAGATAAAAAAAACACAAAAAACTTATTATAGTTGAAGAGAGGCATAAAGTGGATAACCTTGACAACCTCAGAGAATAAAAACAAAACAACCGCTTACAAGAAGGCCTATAGTACGTCAGTGCAAAAACAAATACAAAGTATTAATCAAACTTCGGCATGCCTAAAAAACAAAAGTGTTATTTTTCAGTTCAATTTACCAAACAGGACCCACTGCTTTGTCACTTTACCCGAAGAATCTTTAAACCAAGAGTTTTTAACATTTGTGAAATTAAAATAATAAATGTTATTTTTGTGCTATTAACCCGTGGGAAAGATTTCAACTAAATGGTCTGTACCTGTTCCCCACGTGGTATCAATCAGACGCCATGCACCAAAAATAAAGATGGCGTTCCACGCATGCGTCACGTCTTCTCCAGGATGGAACTGGTGACCTGGTCTATAATCGTGGCCCTTGGCAAATCCCTGTAACGTTTTTACCCGTATGCTGGCGAATCTGAAAAAATTAGCGGGAAAATATGTATTGTTATAGTCTATATCGTAAATGCTACAAATTAAACGTTAGCAGGAACCTTCAAGGATCTTTTTATATAATGTTATTACGGCAATTTTCAAATGCAATACAGATATGATAAATTTCTACAAGGACAGTTTAACCAATGTATATTTTTTTTTCATTGCACATTACTTAAAGTACTTTGAACAAAATATGTTATAAAAGTGGTAGCTAGACAACTAGACACCTAAAAAAATGAGGAAGTATAGCATTTAGACACCTAATAATTTTAGAGGGGTGTTAAAACTTTTAAAACTTCGCAACATACTTAAAATAGATATAATGGAGTAAAGGACAGGTTTGAATTCACGTGGTCAGTTTTCTAACCATTTGCGCTCATAATAGCATGAAAACTAAACCATTTAATTTTTAATAACGTCATTGGATCCAAAGGTAGCCAATAGTTTTATATGCTATCATATAATGAAGTAAAATACCTGATAATGTATTAGGCTTATATATATATGTGTGTGTGTGTGTGTGTATCTTTTATATGCTTATATAATGTTGTACGTGGAACATATCTGTTATAATTATTGTTTTATTTTATAAGAAACAATGGTGTCTAAATGTCCTACTTCGTCATTTTTTTAGGTGTCTAGTTGTCCTAGATTCTATAAAAGTAGACATCGAAAGTTGTTAATATGACTCTCCAGTAGGACCGTTGATATTTGTTGATAGAGAATATCGGTTTATTAATAGATACGTTTTTGTATTCCGAGGAAGCAACATCCAACTTTCGAACTTCGTAATTGCTGTGTATTTAGGCTAAATAATGTTAGAAACGTATAGGACATCAACATCTGATATATATTAATTCGCAACATCGTTAGAAATGTATAGGACATAGACAACTGATATATGTTAATTTATAGCAATGTCAGAAACGTGTAGGACATCGACAACTGATATATATTAATTCGTAACAATGTTAGAAACGTGTAGGATATCGACAACCGATATATGTTAATTTGTTGGATTCACTCCGTTTGGGTGTGAACGAAGAAGGTATAACTTATTAAAATGTTTCCGCTCAACTAGCTAGTGTTGTTTTAGTGGTAAAGTTTGTTAAGTGGACAATATTATTCACATATAGATTGTTTGTTTGTTTTTATAGCAAATCACGGGGAATCAGACCTGAGATTTTAGCGTTTTAAGTCCATCAAATTAGCGCTGTTCCACCAGGGGACTATGAACAAACAATTGTTTTATATGAAAATAATCACAATAATTTGATAAAACAGATGTTACCATATCTTAATATCACAAAATCAGGTTATAATGATTTTTGAGAAAACATATGTTACCAAATTTTAATATCACAAAATCAGATTAGAATGATTTTTGAGAAAACAGACGTTACCAAATCTTAATATCACAAAATCAGATTAGAATGATTTTTGATAAAACAGACGTTACCAAATCTTAATATCACAAAATCAGATTAGAATGATTTTTGATAAAATAGACGTTACCAAAATTCAAAAATCATTCTAATCTGATTTTGTGATATTAAGATTTGGTAACGTCTGTTTTATCAAAAATCATTCTAATCTGATTTTGTGATATTAAATTTTGGTAACATCTGTTTTATCAAAAATCATTCTAATCTGATTTTGTGATATTAAGATTTGGTAACGTCTGTTTTATCAAAAATCATTCTAATCTGATTTTGTGATATTAAGAAAGACAAACGTTACCAAATCTTAATATCACAAAATCAGATTAGAATGATGTAAGTTCATTTTAGCTTACTTCATTGCAAGAATTAACCAGATTCGATAAAAACGAAATAAAAACACTTTTTATGTGTGTGTGTAAACGTAACAACCTGTTCTATTATTTCTATATTTTGTATATATATTAACCACTTTTAGCTTCCTCTGATATTTTTTATGTATTTTTCAAAAATAAAAGAACCCCGAATAGAACAAAAGAAAAGAAATTAAACCCTACCTGCACATTTCACTAAATAATCTGCAATAGTCTTTACAAACTCCTTCTCCTCTGTTCAGCACCTCCTCTGCTGTTAACCGTACGTCTATATATTTCCAGTTGTACCTGTGTCAAAAACGCTCGAATAAAACGTCGTACTCTACATAATATTATTAATATCAATATAATTTCTCAACCTATTATTAAACTTTTTCAATATTGTTTATTTATGAAAGTATTGTAGTTAAGGGTTAGAGAAATTATTCCAACCAGCGTTGCGCGTAATAACCGGTATTTCTTAAACTATTTGTTTTACGTCTTATTTAACGTAACATTCAGTTCAGTAGCAAGCATTCGATATTATTTCCATTGCCAAAATTGGTTAGATGACATGCTTTTAATAGGCACAGAGAAATCTGTATGTACTTAAAACGTTTGGTTTCGTGATTTTTCATGAATCGCGTGACAAATCTATTTCGGCCTAACATTATGACATAAAGAATTATGGTAGAGTTGCCAGACCTTTACATTTAGATTAGAGAAATATATTATTTCTGACATGATAGTGAACAGTTAACAATATTAATATACATTCATAAGTCTTAGTTTAGTTTATTTTACCTTCGTTATTTGGAACGGTCTTTGAAGTACATTTGCAATTACAAAAAGTTTTTGACTTGAACTACAACAAAATACTCCTTCTATTAATGTTTTATTTTCGTAATCCAGTTGTTTCGTCTCCTGCAAGCAGAATTGAACCAAAGATCTTTTGCCTACGAGATGACTGTTCTATTAACTGAGCTCAAAGGAGTTAACCCATCCGCTATTGCCAATAAGATGCTTTTCAAAAGATACTGTTCCGTATTTGATAAATTTTACACACCTCAACTGAAATACCCAAAAACATTAGGAACGTAAAAATTACTAACAAATTTGTCCAACAATTTTTAGTGATGATTCTGTATAACATTTATAATACCTCGGCTAAATGGAAATTTCCTAAATTATATAGATTGAAGATATTAATATCATGAATATTAATATCGTTTATGACAGCATTTTTTTTATACGTGTTCAAGATGTGTTTGTAGTTAAACACAAAGCTACACAAAGGGCTATCGGTGCTCTGCCCACCACGAGTATCAAAACCCGGTCTTTAGCGTTTTAAGTCCGCAGACATACCCCTGTACCACTGGGGGGCGTTCAAGATGTGAGTTGCCGACAAAATATCTGCTGACTCATTCTATTGAAATAACGGTAATGAGTGACGTCAGGATATCCCAAGACTGTGAATGGTTGTGAAAATATTATTATTATTTATTAGTGACGGTTTGAACGCTGAAACATGGCTACCTAGAGGGGCACACAGTAGAGCACATATGTGTCTGTATGTTCGTCGTTATGAACGGAAACAGACCATTTTTGACAGTACAATGATGACTAATATTCTACTTATGTCTATCAAGTTTCATCGGAATCCGATCATTTTTGACTGAGTTATATAGCAAAGATAGTGTGAAAAATCGGTCCCCATGTTAACAGATAGGGATTTTTTTTGGATTTTCGTGACCGTGACCGTACAAAAACTAATCACTTCTAATTTGAGTCATTGTCCAAATGTATAGCAAATCTATTCAGCCATTTTCAAGAAATCTTGTTGGCAAACACACATAGGGGTGAAAATATGACCTCCGTCCACTTTCGGTGGCGGAGATAATTATCCGAATCTAAACTTCTATGTTTTAAACACTTCTGATTTGAAATAGTATTGGACAACTGAATAGAAATGTTTAAAAAAAACAGAAAAGAATTTTGTAGTATAGCGTAATATTTATCATTGATGTTAGACCATTATTTATAGTTTTATTTCCAATAATCATCAAGGAAAATCGAACGTTTTAAGAAATATTGAAGAATATAACAACAGATCTATGGAAACCTTTCCCGCCTAAATTTCAAGTATTAAACAGATCTAATATGGTGTTATTCTTAACGCCCAGATGATTCTCATATTAGCACGCACATTCCACGGTGGAGTTGTGGCAAGGATATGTTATTAATATTTTTTATTATTGCAAAAGAGTAATTACTAATTAATTTACATCCTATGCTTCGGCTGTCATCTTCAAGGAAGACCTAAGAAGGACTGTTTGTAGTAGTAGTAGGTGACGAGATTCAATCCTTGGTTTTATCGCCAGAAAGGTTTGGTTTATTTTGAATTTCGCTCAAAGCTACACGAGTGCTATCTGCGCTAGCCGTCCCTAAATTAGCAGTGGTAGACTAGACGGAAAGCGGCTAATAAACACCATCCACCGCCAACTAAGAACTACTCTTTTACCAACGAATAGTGGGCTTGACCGTCACATTATAGGGCCCCCACAGCTGAAAGTACGAATATGTTCTGTGACGGGAATTCGAACCTGCGACCCTCAAATTGCTAGTCGAGCTCCCTAACCACCAGGCCCCCGTTAGAAAAGTATGTGATATCCATTCACATCATCTTTACTGGGGTTAGTCTATTACTTAGTCTTCTGTGTCTGTTGATGTGACTTTTGTTAGTCTATTACTTAGTCTTCTGTGTCTGTTGATATGACTTTTGTTAGTCTA